TCTCGATCCTGTCACGGCTCTCTGCCGTGACAGGGGAGGGGCTGGATTCCCCTCCTCTCCGATCCAGTGCTGACTGGCGGAACGGACGGGGGAGGGGGCGGATACAGCTGGCTCTGCCTCTAGATAGGCAGAGCCAGCTGTCACTCACGCAGCTGGGCGGATCTCGACATCGATGTTGGGATCAGCTCCGGCTGCGGCTTCTCAGTATACCGCGAGCTGTAGCTGGCAGTATACTGAGCTTAGGGTGACGGGAGGACGCTAGTTTGTGTCCTCCCGTTACCCTAAGCAGAACTATGAGGAAAAGCCCTGACCCCATAGTCCTCCTTTAATCTCTTTTTATGTATCCCCTGTTATGAATAAACAGGAATCCTCTATGAGTGTTCCTGTTCATTGATAACTTGAGAACATAGTATGTTTTACTATAACTACAACTATGAATGAACAGGAGGTGATGTAGATCACTCTCATTAATTCATAATTGAGGATATAGTCAACATACCATGTCCTCAATTATGTACAAAAACTCAGCGATCACTGATCACTGAGCGTTCGCTCTCCTCTGACACGCTGTCACAGGAGCCTGAGCGAGCGGTGCAGGGAGGAGAGCCCAGCCCCCTGTGACAGCGCGGGCTGTCTCCGCCCCCACACCGCTCTGCCAGACTGTGATAGGCGGCTGAGCGGTGTGGGAGGAGACACACGCCGCTCACTTTCTCTCCCCCCCGCAGGGACACAGAGCAGCGCCCAGCGGGGTGTGAAAAAATCTGGGACGCGCCGTTGTATCTGCAGCAAAATGACACTTTTGGCATTTAGCCAAAAGTTCCATTTTCAGCCAATATGTTTCGACATCCCTATAATTTACCTCTATATTTCATTGTAAATGCAGCTGAGAAGCTGGATTTCTACTGCACCCTGACAGACTATGCTGGAGGGGATGGAAGGGGCTAGGCACGGTTTTACATAATTTCCCTAAGCTCCTTCAGATAGAGTAATTTGCTGTCAATCTAAAGGGCTGTGGAAGGGCTTCACCAATGTGGTTAGCATCTACACCGCTACTGTAGCAGTCATTTAAAAGAGAACTATAGCCAAAAAACGTTTTTTTTGTCTATATTTCTCTTTTGGGTCACCAGTACATTTACTAATGTATTCCTGTGACCCAAATTCAGCATATAGCGGGCCATTGCACACTATATGCTGACAGCACAGAGACGCGCTGCAGCCGAGAAAGAGCATGACAATATTGTCTGGATCCAACCTGCTGACACTCTGGAGCCAGAGCCAGCTGGGCCCACCTCCTCCCCTTCTCTGCCTTTCTAATAAGCGTTGGTGGAACAGAGAGAGGGGAGGGGGAATCCCTGAGGCCCTGTTCACATCATGGCATTTTGTTGCATGTATTTGTGCACCCTAAAACGCACAGCACAAGAAATACCATATACAGTAAACTCTGTTATCCAGAATTCAACTAACCAGAACTCTCATCCAACCAGAAAAAAAAAATCTCCTGTGTGCTTCCTGTTCTGCAGCATGTATTGGTATGTAAATGTGGATTACTGCATTTCAATATTAATATGAAGTCAATATAGAGTTTATGATAAGGTATGCTATAGTATGGCATTAGTTAGACCTATTTTTAATAGTAAGTCTCAAGCAACTAGAAACTAAATTTATCCGGAATTTTCCAATCCCCGTGGATGCTGGATACTGGGGAGTTTACTGTATTCCTATGGCCTCATTCACACATAAGTGCTGATTTGAGTGTAAAAATATGCCTGTCACTGGAAAAACAGGAGTTTTTTTTTGGGGGGGGGGGTTGGCAGATCAGTGTGATTTTCCAAATTACCGTCAATATGTCACAATCTGCTCACAAAGACGTGCAACTTAATAAATGCGCGCAAAAACGTGTAATCTGCCCTGAAATGCTGTCACCTAGGCGTGAATGAAGCCTGACTGACAGTCACCACTGCTTGCATGGAAAAGCTGTGAGTTGAGCAATCAGCAGTATGTGATCACTCAGTTCTCAAACTATATAGCCGACATGTGACAGCTGCAGTGTCACACCAACACAAACTATTGGGAAGACTATATTTTAATCTCCCAATAGTTCTTTTAAAAACACTTTTATTTAAACTAATACCCAAAGGGATACTTAAATTACGCTTTTTGCGTCCCTTTAATCTATATTGTTGGTAAACAAAATGTTGCTGAATATTCGCATCCATTTTAAGATTATACACGTCCCCTGATAAAGGCTCAGGTTTACACACCATCTTCTTTGAAAGATTTGGTTACAAATTAGTATGACAATCTGTATGATTTAGCTATATATGGCAGCCAAACCTAATTTCCAGAGATTGAATAGAAGCAAACAATGTCTGTGCAGGTAGAACCTGGGTCATTATAGGAGAATCAAAATGCCTTGATCATTCATGGTCACTAACAGTGCATGGTTTCCAGACTTGGAAGTAGTTATACAAGTTAGTCAATTAACATTTTAACATGTTTCCATACATATGATTCAATGAAAAGCACTGGAAACAGAAATCAGCACTGTTAATGATACCTAAAAGACAGTTTGGGAAACACAGCTACATAACAGAAATATAATAATACAAGTCTAACAACCAAAAAACTCAAAAGAAATATATGTACCTTCGGTGGTAGAATGTCATTTTCGTTCTTGAGCACAAACCGTCCTTCCCTGTCATCTTTGTTCCAGTTAAGCTGAACTACCAGAGGCTTTTCGTCAACATCAAGTCTTCTTTCTTCTTCAAAACATGAAAAAACAAGTTAAAAAGAAAAAAAATAAGGGCAAATTAAAAGACAAAAATTAAATTAATAGGTGAACTGCTAATGCTCTGCAGGAGATATTGTACCCTCAGAAACCTGATTTTAGCTAGAACTCTTTTGTTGAGAACTAAATTCTCATTCACTAGATTTGGGCTGTGCAAATTTCCGATCTCCGAGAGCCAGCAAAACCCTACAATACTTAGAATTAGGAGTACCTGGTCTGTATTTCGTAGACCTAAATCTGTTGTTCCGAAAACAGCACAATACTAGTCATTTTAGGCAACATGTCATAAGAGAAATTAGTCAGTTGCTTTTTCTGACCGAATTCTGAATATACTAGCTGCTGGTCTGTTTTGCTGACCCACTACTTGTAGGGCTTTTTCACACCAAGCGCGGAGCAGATCCAGAGCAGAGCAGGTGCAGACCGGATCAAAACTGTGTCCAATGTATTCCTATGGTATTTTGAGCTCCAGTTCACATCGCAGAGTGCAGATCCAGCATAAAAAATGCATGCAAAACGCAAAAACACATCAAAAACGCATGCAAGTGCCTGAAAGCCCATGTTAAACTTAAAAAAAAAAGCAAAAACGGCCCGGAACGCATCAAAAACGCGGCACAACCCACTGCACTGCGTGTGCAGAAACCTGACTGGATCTGCTCTGCATTTGGTGTGAACAAGGCCTTACAGTCCACATGGAATAAGCACGCAGATTAGAAAAAAGTCAGAGAAAAGTTAGACGATATTATCTGCATACTTTTTCCATGTCACTGATAAACATTAAAGTCCTTCACCAAGCATTTTTAAGTTTAATATTTTTTAATGATCAGGTTTTGAGGTTTACAATAATAGAAACGTAAAAAATTACCAGTACCCATATTCATAGGAATGTCATTAAATGGTTGGTATTATGAGAGCATACAGTATATTTGGAACCAACACAGAAGTTGAAGCGGTGGTACCATCTGTACGGCATTAAATATGAATACCAATATTTGACTAGTAAGTAGTAGATAGACGAAGACAGATCTTTGAGGTCACTACTAGAATAGAGACAAAATGTTGGTAGAGGGGAGGGTGGGGGAGTATTCCCTGCACATCAGCTAGCAACCCCAGTGGAACTGAGAGGTGACCTGACCATTGAAGACTTAGACTAAAGGAGTGTTGCCCAGGGCTTCCAGATTTTTTGACAGGCTGGCATTTTGCCTAAGAGTTTAGCAGTTCATGTTTATACACCATGGTTTGGGAAAGTCGAGCTTTAACTTCAGAAGGTTTAAGGGTTCAGGTATTTCAGGATCCGACAATCATCTGCTTGGCAGATAATAAGCAATAAATAAGCGAGTTAGAAATGTAAACTGGTATGAGTTCATACTCTCCATTTTTTGATTTAATTGGGCTTCACAAGGGTTTGAATGTGAAGGGTAACTGAGTTCATAAATGATATGGTATACTTTGGTCAAGAATTTCCAGGCACTCAACCAGCATCAAAAGGAGAGCTCACTTACTGCAGCCTCCAGGAACTACTATTTCTGCATTAACATAGGAATCCTAGCCTGTGTCCTGTGTATTTTGAAGGTTGAGGTTTTATGGTTTTTATTGTTACCATAGAATTAATTCAGCCCTGCACGCTGTGGAAGAGAAGTCACTCAATTCCCCCATCCATGCTGTTAAACAATCTCTCTTGCTGGCTGTTGTATTCAGAGAGCTGGCACATACAGCTGTCTGAATACTGGAACAGTGACTGCATCTGATAGGATGTAGTCACTGTTCAGGCAACATTTTTCCACTCGGCACCTTGGATTTTTTTATTTGAGATTTGTAGCTTGGATTTCACCGATTCTTGCTGATTTGAGTCGTGTATGGCTAGTCTAAGAGTCTACACTCAGTGGCCACTTTTAGGAATACCTGATTATTACAGTGAATAGCCAAAGAATTGCATTTAAAATAGAACAATGGGGTAAGTGTTTTTCTCCATAGTTCTCTGTATACTGAGACAGCCGCAGTTGGGACCGATCCCGACAATGCTGTCAAGATCCACCCAGCTGCATGAGTGACAGCTGGCTCTAGAGGCACAGCCAGCTGTACCCGCCCCGTCCCCCGTTCGTTCCTCCAGTCAGCGCTGGAGGATCAAAGCGGGGGGAGGGGGGATCCCTCCGGGGAGCAGTGACCGACTGTCAACGCTCCCCGCAGGGAGATGATCAAGAAGTGAGCGAGTGACGGTATGTGTTCGCTCACTTCCCGATCTATTGAGATGACGTGTGACAGTTTCATTTCATCGGCTCCAACTACGAGGACGAGTGATTTTCACACGCCTCATAGTTCTCCTTTAAAGAACAAAAACTAAACCCTTGACTATGTGGGTATAGGGTTAGCCAATAGAAAAAAACCAGTAACTCCAGCCAATCCGGAAAAAAGGGATAATGTCATTGTAAAGTCGATTTGTACACATACTTTTCACAATTGCTGTCTAAGAGCTGCAATAAAAACAAACAAACAAAAAAACCCAAACACACAACAGCCTCAATGCACAGATACGGTTAGGATAGCAAAAGGAATGGCATGGTTATTTTAAATTTAATTTCATTGGAGTTCACCTGCAAAACACTTCAAACCATCATAGCCAATTGATTCAAATATACATCAAGGATAAAACAGATCTTAGGAGGTAGGTATGCACAGATACAGATACCAGTATTGGTGCCAATACTGGGCATTTTCACGAGTGCTCATACTCGTGAAAATGCCTTGATAGCAAAAACCTGATACAAATACTTTAGGTTTTCAAATTAAAGCGGCTGCCTTAGATCCTCGAGACCTAAAGCAGCCTTCTTGGGAAGCATGCGACACCCGTCTACAGTGCTTACGCTGGCCAACACATCTTTCACTCCTGAGACCCTCCGCACCCCTCCTGCGAAACATCAGGCCGGCACCCTGGAGCAGAGAGGCAGCATAAAGTATGTAGCAAATTCATATAGTAATTTTCTGCATTGCTGTATAATGTATTGCTGGGATTTGTAGACCTCCATAGATGATGGTATTCTTCTGCATTGCTGTATAATGTAGGGCTGCAACTAATTATTTTCATAACTGATTTGGCCTATTTTTTATTCAAATAAAAAAAATGAAATACCATCTTATTTAAAATAAAAAAAACAAATGAAGTGTTACGATAAAAACTTTACGTCAGAATAAAACTGCATGCACAATTTATTGCAATCGCACCGCACTGGAAAGCAGGGCAGTGTGACACCACATGTTCCAATGTAGGCAATCGCACTGCGAGTGGAAGGAGTGTTTGGGGTGTCATTAAAGTGAATGCTTACGCAACACACCCCCCGCAAGAGAATTTGTCAGGCTGAAACTGAAAATTTTATTTTTCCACCTTTTATCATTTTTTTAAAATAATTGTATGTATATATTAGACATTTTAATTAGTTCCGAGGATTTCAAAAACTTCAAACAAATATAATAACTAGAGGTGCACCGAAATAGAAATTTTAAAACCGAAACGAAACCGAAATAAAAAAAAAATGTCAGGCCGAAACCGAAAATGTTTATTTTTTCAAAATACTTAATTTTTTATATATTTATTTTTATTTATTCATTTTTTATTAAATATTTGTATTTTTTACACCGCTCAGCCGCCTAAAAGCAAGAAAGCAGGGATGCGCCGATGTATCGGCCGAAACATGGCTCTTTCGGCATTATGCCAAAAGTGTCATTTTCGGCCGATATGTTTCCGCGGCCGATATATGCATCCCTAATAACAGGGGTGTGGAATTTTTTGAAAAAACTACTTGTCCAAGGGCTAAAGCGGGGGCCAAATCTACTTGTCCTTCATAACAATCTACTTGTCCCAATACAAAAAAAAAATAGTTTTAATTAAAACTAGGGATTAATTAATACCGGTTTTTGGGTATAGAGTACCGATATTTTGCTTTCGGTACTCACCGAGTATCGGTGCTTCCGTTTGCATGGAGCAGGCTTCCTGGCAATCAGGAAGCCGGGCAGCAGGTAATGAGATGCTACCCGGCTTCCTGACTGCCAGGGAAGCCGACTCCATGTTTGGCCAGCTTGATTGTGAATGGCTTGGAAGCCATCGAGTTTTTTTGTACACTTAGCCCCGCTCCGGACAAGCAGAGCTAAGTGTGCAGTGTGGAGCCGCCGCTCGTTTTCAAGTGATCTGATCACTTGTATGAAACGAGGTGGC